AGTGATTAATACAATGACCTATTTGCAAAAGCTTTTCATGGAGAACATGGGAACTGAGCTTGGTCATGAGACCAGGTGTGTGGCAAGCAAAGAAAAAGGAAGACATTCTAAGAAGAAAAAGCAGAATACACAAATCAGTGTTTAAATTACAAGCTAGAAAAACTGGAGGTGAAACACTTGGAAATTTCTTGAGAGTCAACTGGTAAATAAAAATATCTGTAAAGGATAATTCACATGGTAATTGTTCTGCTATCAAAATAAAGAGCTCTAATTCCTTTTCTGTGCTGATAAAACAACCACTTAATGTGAGGCACTTTATAGTCCTTATCCTTCCATAAGTAAAAAGTACCAAGTTACCAGCCTATAATTGAATCTTAGTTCTTTAATAATAATGCTACTGATATATATTTAATAATATTTAAGGTCGGGAGTGGTGGCTCACGCCTATAATCCCAGCACTTTGGGAGGCGGAGGTGGGTGGATCACGAGGTCAAGAGATCGAGACCATCCTGGTCAACGAGGTGAAACCCTGTCTCTACTAAAAATACAAAAATTAGCTGGGCATGGTGGTGCGTGCCTGTAGTCCCAGCTGCTCGGGAGGCTGAGGCAGGAGAATTGCTTGAACCCAGAAGGCGGAGGTTGCAGTGAGCCGAGATTGTGCCATTGCACTCCAGTCTGGGTAACAACAGCGAAACTCCATCTCAAAAAAGAAAAAGAAAAAATAATAATATTTAAATAGATATTTTTATAACAATACTGAGTATATATTAAATACTGTTACTGAGATTATATATATTAGAATTATTCTTATATATGTATTTCAGTAATAGTATTTAATTTATCTCAGTATTATATATATTGAGTATATGTATCTCAGTGATATTATTAATACTATTATATTAATAGTATTATATATCAACTATATATTTATATATGTCAGTACTATTATTTATAATCATTCATTTATATAAATATAATATATTCTATATATTTCACAGCATTAAATATATATTTAATAATACATATATACTTAATAATATTAAGATAAATATATATTTATCTTAGTTACATAAATCTAAGTATGATACAATGTATATCCTCAAAGTGTTTAAAGATTTATATCCTTAAAGTATATTAAAATAGCTATCATAAAATCTGTTTCTAGTTTACAACTTTACTATTTTTTTCTGAGAAAAAATCATCATGACCATATACTCTCACAAAAAAATTCAAAACAACAGAATATATGCCATGTAAAAATGTTAATGTTATAATATATTTAAAACTCAAATTATAGGTCTTGAAATATAGAAAACACTTAGGATTTGCTGAAGGTTAATTTGAAATCAATTATTAATAAATATTTGTTGAATTGTTTAAAATTCCTATCATATAATTAAGTCCTAATTATTAATGTTTAAATTCTTTAATGCCTGGTGGTTTATATACCTTCCAAATTTTCACTTTAACTGTACTGAATATAAATCCAATTTAACAATTATTAGATGCCTATTGCCTACCTACCATAGTAGGGAACAAAGCAGTTTCAGTCTATGACTTCACAGAGTTTCATGTAGTGAAAAGAGTTTGAAGTTGATTTACCAACCTTTCAGGTTCTGAAGCAGATGAATTATGAGAAAAATAACTTCATATATATATATATATATATATGGCCCTAATTGTTTATATGAGTGTACTTGTCTTAGTCCACATGACAGACAATATACCATATTCCCAATAGAGTGCTGGGAGATACTTTCCCCATCATTACTCCAAAGGTCATACAAATTAATACATGCATTCTACTCATTAGCTAAAATTAGATAATTCTAACATGCATTGCTCTCAATGGTTAAATATTTTCTTGAATTTTAAAACAAACTAAGAAAAGCCTACAATTCAATAATGATTCTGTGTGGTTTTATTAAAACTTACATTTTGACAGTTTCTCAGAAAACCAACAGTTTATAATTAATGAATGTTCATCCAAAGGTTGACCTTCTGAGTAACTGGATAAGTGCAAACTTAGGAGGAAAAAAAATGCCGTTTGACTATTTATTAAAGCCTAAGAGCTCTTATCTTTTAGAATGAAAGTTCTGGAAGCATGCCTAAGAAATTGGCTCTATAGGTTAACATTTGAAAATCCATTTTACATAAAAATTCATGCTATCTACTTTATGCTATGTTTAAAATAAGAGAAATTGTAAAAAGCTTAATCTACCTTGATTGCTCGGGGCCTCCTTTAAAGTTTCCTGAGATTAAACTCCCAGGCATATTGAAGCCAAAAGACACCAAGCACTTGTTACAAATGGCTCCAGCATTCATTTTCAGTCTAAATCTATGGAGCCTCTACTGAGGCGTCTTTCTATCTGGGATTGAATGAGTTACTTTATTTACTTAAAGGTTAGTGTTAATGAGATCAAGGTCACAGGAGTGGACTGGTAAAAACAAGATTTGATGTCAAACAGACCTGGATTTGAATTTCACTTCTACTCCCCAGAGGGTCAGTTTCTTCATCTTTAAAATTGAGAGTAGCACCTCTTTCCGTGTATTGGCATGAAATAAAGTAGGCTTCAATTACCACTGATACACTTGGTTCCAGGCCTGATCCATAATGTTCCCTCAAGAAAAGTTCATTGTAGTTTCAATTTTTGTATTAGAAAAACAACTCCCTGTACACAGTGTGTATTCTCCTGATGATTAGTCAGCAATATTCAATTATTAAAAAAAAAATTATTGTGAGAAAGAAGCCTATGCACCTGCTTATATTTGAACCCATCAGAAATTTTAGATTTTCCAACAAAAAATCCTTATTTTATATGACAACTATTAGCAACTCTAATGCTATTTCCCAATTGAATAAGTTATGAGATAAGCATGTAAAATACCAGTTTGGGCTCATATTTGCTCAATAAATTGTGTTTAATGGACAAATAAATAGAAGAGTAAAAAATTAGCTATTTACAACTACGGAACACTCAGAAACAAAGCTTGAGACAAGAGACTAAACTTTAGTTTCCTATTGACACTGACTTACTCTACCTCCGTGAAAATTTCCTAATTCCTCATTCTCAATTTTTTTCTCTTTAAATTGTAAGGGTTTGATATGTAATGCCCATAGTCCCTCTCTAGTTCTGTAGGTCTATCATTCACACAGTTGAGGAAACATGATTTAGGAGGCAATTTGTTCATAGAAACAAAAGAGGTGATGGACGTAAGTCCCTTGAGCTCTTAAATTCCATTTTTCTGTTTTCTCTTCTAATAGACTTTTAAAAAATTTCTAAATGTGTATTATTTGGCCAACTGAAGAAAAAGCAGTAGATTAGCAAAGTCCCCAATGAAAATGAAGAAAATTTGAAGGAATGATGTCAATCTCTTGTACAGAAAAAAGAGACTAGGCGATAGGCATTTAGAAGAAGAAATTTGAAGTATCAACAGGTTTGTTGTGAAGGGCAGCAAAATATGCTTCCCCAAAATATGCTACTTTGGCTTATTGATTATTTTGAGCTAGAGAAAATGGAAAAGAAACAGATATAGGAACTCTTTGCTCTCCTTCTATTTGCCTAAAAGAGGGACATAAATTTGTTAAAGAGTCCTTCCTCTCTTCTCTACCAGAAAGGACACAAGTTAAGAGAGGTAACTCTAGACACTTACCAGCCCAAAGAAGTCACCAGAGGAATCTATATAACAAACTTTGCTAAAACTAACTTTTATTTTCCATTAGTTTCCTCACCCAATTTCTTGCCAGTAGAAAGTTTATTTTTCTTTGTCTTGTTACTACTTCTACAAAGTTATTGTAAATTTTTGTTAAGATTATAGAGCCCAAGTTCTAAGTTGAGGCAAGAGATTAAAGATTTAGTTTCCTACTGACAATAACTTGTTCTATGACCTTGAAATTTTCCTAGTTACTGGTTCTCAATTTTTTTCTCTTTAAAATGTCAGGATTTGATAAGTAATGCCCATAGTCCCTCCCTGGTTCTGCAGGGCTGTGATTCACACAGTTGAGGAAACATGACGGGAAAGTCATGCTTATCTCATAACTTATTCAATTGGTGGGTAGCATTAGAGTTGCTAATAGTTGTCATATAAAATAAGGAATTTTTGTTGGAAAATCTAAAATTTCTGATGGGTCCAAATATAAACAGGTTAACTACTTTGAGTTATTTGTCACAGGCTAATAAGCCCATTTGTTTTTCTCTTACTTATCTGCCTTTTTCTCAATCTAATTCATAGGATCTCAGCCAAAAAACCTAAAATGGATAGAAAAAATGTATATATTTTTCCCCTACAAATACCAGTCTATGGCTTTCCACGATGACAATTGGCCAACAGTTCTTGGTAGGGTTTTTCATTTGTTCATTCATTCGTTCAACAAATACTTATTGAATGATTACTATTTACATGGCCACATGCTAGAATAAGGTTATAAAGATGAATATGACATACACTTTGACCTTAAATTTTTCTTTAGTAAGGATCAAAAGGCATGTATATAAATAGAAAAATGTTCTAAATTATGTAAGTGAAAGTTACATGAGATTTATGAGGAGGTAATTTTTAATTTCAGCCAGGCAGATGGCAATGAAGGGAGGGAAATTGAGGAAATCTGGGAGAAGATGGCATTTTAGCTAGAGGTTAAGCATTCATATATTAGGCAGAAGGACATTTCTGGCTAAAGAAATAATGTGAACAAAGCCTCAAAGGAGCATGAAGCTGGATGCATTTTGACTCTACAATTGGGTTTATGAAAGAGAGTAATGAGAAATACATTTAAAAAGAACACTCTCAGATTGAAGAGACCTTGAATGTCATACTAAGGACATTTAGTCTTTATCTTTCAGAAAAAAGCAAGACACTGGAAGTTTTGGATAAGGTAGATAGAAGAAAGCTATGTTGTAGGGTGGCGAATCCTGAAGATTTGTGCATGGTGGTTGTAAACTGAATCTTAATAGGAAGATAACTCAGTTGAAGTTCTTGACCATAATCGTTTTCTTGTCCAGGCTGCTGATTTGCTGCTGCAACATGGAGCTAATGTCAATATTCAAGATGCAGTTTTTTTCACTCCTTTGCACATTGCAGCATACTATGGGCATGAACAGGTAAGTCTGACAGTAGGAATTCCAAAGGTTAGGCGTTGCTTAAGTGTCAGCTTTTGTTGAATTGTCCTATCTTCAAAGAGCTTATATTTAAAATCTCTGAATTATTTTTGCCTTAGTCTCATCAACTCATCCTTGAGGAGCTTGTAGATCCATATAAGTATTACAGTTGTTATGTTATTTATTTTTTACTGACAATCTTAGTACACAAAGAGGCAGTAGAATACATTGGTAAGTGTGTGGCCACAGGAATCAGTCACCGTAAATTTGAAAAATTCCTAGTGTTTTGACCATGTATAGGTTACGTAAGATCTTCATTTCTCCACCCATAAAATGCAGAAAGATATTAATAGTAACCTCATAGAGTTGCTGTTAGGGTGAGATATAAATTGGCAAATGCTCAGTAAATGTAGCTGTGATGATGCTAATTGAAATAACAATAAAACAACTCATAAATGCTGTATAAAAACAACTATAAATGTGCTTTAATTATACAATTTGTTTTAAATATGTGATTACATAACAGGTCCATATTTATAAAGTTTTATATTCTGTAATAAAAAGTAATATATATATACAAATCTTTAAAGTTTTTAATATAATTTTGTTTAATATATGATTTTATTTAACCTTCACAACTTTATGAAATTAATTAGTTGCCACATGAGTGAGCTTATACTGTGAAATAGGCACTATGATAGAACCTTTGTCTTCTTTTCTAATTTTTCCACTTACCTAAAATTGACTGTTATTTGCTCATTCTTATCAATGGTACGCATGAAGCTCCATCAGGTGAGGTGGCATGCCAGAGTTATGCAGCTATTAATAATAATAAGTAGAAGAGCTAGAATATGTACTCAGTTCTGTCTCATCCCAAAGCCTATATTCGTTCTGTTGTACCAAAGTATCTCCTCTTATTCTTCAACCAGTGGGACAAATTATCAAGTCCAGACAATTGTCCTAAATGGAAAAGCCCGAATTCAAGAAGACATGTTCTAATTCCAAAGTCTGCTGATTTTCACCCTTAACATATCAAAAGACAAAATTTTTATGTTACTTTTAAACACTTTCCTTTAGCAGTGAGAATACTCAACCAAAAAAAAAAGAGAGAGAGAGAGAAATACAAATGTAACTGGATAACTACATATAACTGTTCATTGAATACTCCGTTTTCACTTTTTCTCACTTTGTCTTTCTAGACTCATTCAATTGTACGATAGAATTATTCCTTTTTACCTTCCTGGAGGTCATGCCACAGCACCACCTGAGGGTTCCAAGTTGAAGATCAAACTTACATGTGTCCCCGCACTATTATAGTCACCGTGCCTTTATTCCTCTGCTAGCTAGCTGGCATATGCCTGGACACTCTAAGACCTGTGAAGCGTGACCTATAGGTAGGAAAGATTGCTTATTTCACTGATGTGCTGTTCAGAGTGCACTGGAGTGCACTGAAGAGCTGGGCACTGAAAATGCTATCGGAAGTACAGGCCCAAAAGCACAAGTAATGGAAAAATGCCATCCTTTTCTAACCTCAGGCACAGACAGGATATATACAATGCATATTATTTGTAGAGTCATCCTCTTTGGCGATTAACCTCATCACCCAGCAGAAACATAAAGAGCCTTTATGCATGTTGGGTGGAGAACTAAATTTGTTTACTTTCCCTGAAAATATAGTCACAGTCTTATAAAATTATGTGAAAATGTGGATGGCCCTTTTATGATAAGGGACTCACTTTCTGTGTGTGAAGGCAGCACAAAAGTAATTTATAGATGCCATTGTCATTTGCTAAAATATGCTGACAAGGAGAATGTTACATTCAATATATAAATGTACCTAATGTGCCATGTTCCTTGCCATGTTTTTATTTACTTATTTTTAAGTGGAAGAGTAGATGTTTTATGCCAAAAGCAATGTTTCCTAGGTATGTAATAATAGTGCTTAATAGACAATCGATTTCAGAGATTGTTTAAATCTGTCTATTATAAAGTCCCATAATCAGAATATATGGAGTCTGTGTAAGTGGAAATATCTGCTTAGGCGTGCAAGGTTCTTGAAACTAAACCTCTGCTGTTTTCATTTCTCCTGAATTAAGTTTTGATCAGCCCATTAGCCAACAAAGAGATAAAAGGCACATGCTCCAAGTTGGGGTTACCACATTAACTAACAGTTATTGAATGCCAGGCACTTTTCCGAGTGCTTTTCATGAGATGACTTATTTAATCCTCACAACAACTTCAAGAGGTAGAAATATTATTATTCCCACTTTAGCAATGAAGAAACTAAAGTATTAAAAGGATAAATGATTTGTTCAAGGCAACATAGCTGATAAGTAGAAGCCTAATTTCCAAACCCTGGCTCTTATCCATTACACTCAATAGGAATTCAGTTCCCCACATCTCACCTAGCTAATATTTTGCCTAGAATTTCTCTCAAATGTCTACCATATTCTTGAGAGATTAATACTCAAGACATGTTTATTTGCTGACTTATGGGAAGTAAAAATAGTTTTAGAACTTGAATTCACTTTTGTGCTGATGCTTCAGTGGTGAAGACAATTGAGAGAGGGCAATTGCTATTTGAACCCTAACTGCTATTTTAATGACTCAGACACATCCTAACTTACCTTTTAGTATCACTGAGGTGACTTTTGAAAGTCTTAGGAGAGGCAATGTCAAGGTTACACAAATTATTTGGAAAGTTCTTAAGTATACATGTAAGTGACTCAAAGGAATTCCTAAATTACCTAAAGCAATCCCAGGAAGACTCCTACATGCTTCATCACTTTGTCCCTCTCTGACCATATGGATGTAGAGTCTCAGTAAATTGGAGAAGATGCCAGGGCTACTGTACCTATTTCCAGTTTACTCACATATCCAGAAAAAGAGCTAGAACTCCAGTAGCAAGATGATTAGTAGTGATATGACTGAAGCTGCCATAAAAATCAAGAATCAAGTCAACTACCACTGGCTCTGGCCAGAAGGAGACTTTGGAAGAGATCCTTCAGAGAAGATCTGCATGATTCATTCTAGAGAGGACTTTTTATGTACCATGAACCCACATTATGAAATTGACAAGACAGTCGATACTAAAGAGAACAAATGGAAAAAGTAGGTTTTCAAGGTTAAAAACTATGGAGAGGATTTTTTCAAAGCTCCCTAGCAACTCATCTAGCCCCACATTAACTCTGAAACAGAAATTGTAAGTAACACTGTTTCAATTCGCCAACAATAATAAAAAATAGCATTTACAAGACAAATACTGTACTTCAGTCATGGCGCTATGCACTTTAAACAAATTCCTAATCTACTCCTCATGACAACCCATAAGTTAAGTGTTGTTATTATTCCCATTGCACATATGAAAAAACTTGGGTATACATAAATTAACTAATTTTTCTCAAGAACACGCAGCTAACATAAATCAGATTCTAGATTCGAATCTAGGCCTCTCTTATGCTGCACCTTAACTCTTAATCAGTATATTATATCACCCCTCAAGTTAACAACTTCATTACATATTATACAGTAGCAGGAACCACTAGTTGCTTAGGCAAAAGTATCACTTCAACTATTACCACTTTGGGCCATATATTTTTTTCTTTCTTGCAGACTCATGATTTTTATTTCACTGTTCAACCTGTCTCCTAAAAGTTGTGCTTAGAGATGCCCCGATCTCCAGTCACTGTGAAGTCACTCACAGTAAATCTTTCCCCTTGCCCAGGGATTGGTTTAGAAAGTTGCAAATGACCTAGTCCAGACTGAAGAGATATGGGAAGGTGGTTTCTGGGGAGTTTTTAACAAGGAATTTCTAGATTAAAACAAAATGCTCCCTTGTTCCAAAGGGTAGAGATCATCTTCTGCTCTACACTGTGGACTTCAGTTTGTAATGCCTGGAGATGCTGCAGCTCTCTGCTACCATAAGGTGATCCATCCTATTTGCTGAGCATGGCAGAACAGAATGACAGAAAGAACTTGAGTTATTAAGCTGTTGTGGTAATCAATGCTAGAATTGTTCCAGTTTTGGACTTCCTGCTAGGTGATATAACAATCAATATTTTATGGTTTAAACCAGTTGTTTTCTTGTATACTGCCTAAAGTTTTTCATTATTGTTTGAAATTTGATACTAATTTCAAATAAATGAATCCCTTAGGTCACCCGCCTTCTTTTGAAATTTGGTGCTGATGTAAATTTAAGTGGTGAAGTTGGAGACAGACCCCTCCACCTAGCATCTGCAAAAGGATTCTTTAATATTGCAAAACTCTTGATGGAAGAAGGCAGCAAAGCAGATGGTAGGATTACATGTTTAAAATAACTTTTCTATCATTTTCTTTATGTATACGTTTTACCTGTACTTCTCTTACTTACTAGAGAAAAATATTGAAGTTGACTAATCCTGTAGTCATTTATTTATTTGCTCCACAAGTCGTAATTATCCTTAATATGTATATGAAGCCTACATGTGAATCCTTCTTTACACGTTTTAGCTAAATTCTTAATATATTAGGTGCTCCAGTGGAAGTGAAGAGTTTTCATATATAAATTAATTATATTTGCTGTTGTTCACTAATCTTTTATAAATTGAGACATTATTTACATCTAGCAAATTCTCAAATGTAAGTATATAACTTAATTAATATATATGTATGTATACACCCATTGTAAACCCCCCAGATTTCATCACTCTGAAATCTTCCCGTATGCACTCATCTCAGGTAACTAGACTTTACCACCAAAGATAATTAATATTCTGGCTTTTATTGCTATATATAGTTTTGTCTGTTCTTGAAGTTTGTATAATTTTGTGCCTGGCTTCTTTTGCTCAACAAGATGATTTGGACATTTATCTATGTTGTTGTATGGAACATAGTTTGTTCTTTTATATTGTTGATGATTGCATGAATATACCACAACTGGTATATCCATTCTTCTCCTGGTGGATATTTTAATATTTCTAGTGTTTTTCTATTATGAATACAATTGCCAGTGGCATTCTTATTCAAGTCTATTTGTGGACATATATGTTCATTTCTCTTGATTATGTTTGTGTGTGTGTGTGTGTGTGTGTGTGTGTGGTTGTGTGAATTGATAAACCAAAAGGTAATAATGCATATGTTTAATGTTTTAGGAAATTTTTAGACAGTTTTCCAAAATGTTTGTACTATTTTAAAATCTTAAAACAATATATGAGGATTTCAGTTGCTTCCCACAGCATCCCCAATATTTGATATTATATTACTATAGTTTTTAATAGAGATAGAGTTTGAGTGTCATCCATTTCAGAAAAAAGCTTTGGAATACATAGAAGAATTTTAGAATCAGTTGATAGAATAGAATTTCCTTTCATTTTTATTTTCTTAATTATAAAATAAATTTTGGAAAGTTGATTATAAGTTATTGAAAATTTCTTTTTTTCACTTTTACACACAAACTTTATTTTTTGATAAAAATTCACTCACAGTTGCATCTTGCCATTAAATTCTCTCAGGCATATCCAACATTCTTTCATTGACCCCCCAAGAGACCTGATTAAAATCCAGTTGTAAGAACTGCTGGCCTTTGCAGCAGGAACAATACACATTTCCAAAAGGACATGGTTGTCAAATCTCTGGAACTGCCAGTGCCTTGGTCCAATATTCAGATTGATATTTAGTTAATAAAGCTAATCAGATTTTTTATCTACCCATGAGGAATACACAAAGATTCCTAGAGACAACTATAGCAAGAGACTAGAGTAATTTCCAGTTTCCAAGTTGTAAACATGGGCCACTTTATTTCGTAAAATTTAAAATCATAGTTTGTATTGTTTTCTATAAGCCAATATGCAGTAACTCAGGCATCTACTTTAGAGCATTATTATAAACAACCTATGTTGTCAAGATGTAAGGAATGCTGTTCCTTGGACCTTGTTTAAGCAGTCTCTTTCATTTTGTTAGTTTAGAATAGGCAGAGGTATACCTGTGTGAACCACTGAACACATAACCATGTTGTAGAAACTGCCTCACTCTTCCAAGGGTCAGGAACCGCATCACTTTTTCCTTTAATTATTGATGCCAAGCTTAGCTTTTCATTCATCTGCACAACTCCAGAGCTTAGTAGTGTCAAAATGAATGTCATTTATGATCTGCATGTCTCCAGGATCAAAAGACTCTTCTGCAAAAGGCATTGAAATGTGTCATACTACAACCATATTCCCCTTACATACCAACATCATATGATAAAATTTTTTACATTTTATTTTTGGTGCACATAAGTATGACATGCCTCCTATTCAATCATTTTTAAAAATCAAGAGACAGCATGACTCAGATTTTTAAGTAATTTTATTTTTTCTAGTACATGCTTGATATTTAAGTACCATTTGCACTTCAACCAATTGCAAAAATTAAACCAAAAGATCTGCTATGCCCATGGACACTGTGCAGGACTTACTATACGTTAGTTCACTTATATATTAAGATGTAGCTAAGCCTCCAAACGATTTATTTTAGATATGGGCCCTGCCTGTGGTAAATGGACATAGGAGAAAGATTAAATAAATGACCCCCAAAAGAGTACAGTTTGAAATCCCATATTTACAGTATGTTTCCATGGTAACAAAATGTCACAAATAAAAATAAATTCAGATTGCAAAATAGCCTAAAGGGTAATTGTGAAAGCAGCCTCTTTGGTTCAGCATGTTTGGGAAGCTGATCTATTCAGTCAGGTATGTTTTAAGCCTCTGTTTTACTTCTTTGTATCTCTTAGGGCAGTGGAGAAGAAGTGTAATGCCCCCTGAAAGAGACTGAAAATTTTAAAATATTGCTGGACTGCATAAGAAAAAAGTAATACATTCTTCAAAATTTATCATTTTGATAATGTTAAAAATGGAAACAGTTAAATTTAGAATTAATAATTTTTGTCATCTTAATCATAAATGTGTATGTCTTTTAAATTACACAATCTTTGGAACTGGATGGAGCTGAATATTACAGAAAACCACAAAAAAATCCTTAAACACGCCCAACAAGAGAAAGTGTTTTATTTTATGAAATATATCTTGTTGGATGTATTACACAGATCTGTTACCAAAGGCTTATAAAAGACAGATCTGGGAGTAATTTTAAAGATCTTGTAGGATGTGCTAACATTTGCTGGGTTAATCTGAAAGTTGTATTTTTAAGGTCAGTATGCAGAAATAAAGAAGAAACAGCATCCAATATTCAATATTTCATTCAAAAGACATCACTATATACCTATTCTCTAAAACAGAGGACCAGGCACTAGATACTTTCCTAATGATGATTTACATGTATTCTTTTGTTTTAAATTCTCCTTTATACGTTTCTCAGTAAGATGCTAAGTTAGAGCAAACAGAATGTTATTTATGCATTCAATTATCCTATGACATAATAACATATTTTCTTTTTTTCTTTGCAAATTGGCCCAAGACAAAACTAAATACATCACAATAACTGAAGCAAAAACGGACGTGTATACACGTAAATTCTATGTCTGATCCCATTATTTCTCCAGGCTTGTTCTTTCAGTTGGTATTTACGTCTTTTTTGATGGAAATATATATCAACCACATCAGTTAATTCACCAAGTAAATCACCTAATCGGAAGTTTACTGATTCAGTTGGGAGAGGAATACTGGGTGGAGCCAAGAATGGCCAAAGGCAAATTATAAATTAATAGAAGATTGCACTGCATTCTGCTTTGCATTTTTTTTTCTGAACCTCAAGAATTCTTATGTGATGCTCCAGATGCCCTGGACTCCTGACTATTCTCAAGCATTGACTTGTGGCATTGACTTTCCCTAGCTTAGAACAGAATGCGAACAAAGAAAAAGCTTTTTAAGGGGAGATAATCAAAAGAACCAAGAACATTTCTCAGAATTAAAGGTGTCTTTTTGAGCTACTCATTAATAAAAAAAGATTCAAACGTTTGTTTTTAATAACAGCCTTGGGAGGAGAAGCTCAATGACTTTGTTAAAGATTTCCCTTTGGCTTAAAATCTTGCAGGACAATAAAACGAGAATGATTGTCTACAAATATAGCCCCTACAAGGCCTAATTAAGATCCTGTCTAGATTGACAAAGTAATCAAACAATAAAACAAATGGCTTTGGAGCATTGATTTGATTATTTTAGTTTTAAAAATTATTAAAGCCAGATTAGGCATTGAGCAGTTTGATGTTCAGTTGTTATTACTTCAGGACTGTAAGATTGACTGTTTAACTAGACTAAGTTATTTGAGAACATAGACTCTGCATTTATCTGTTGTTAGCTTTGGATGTAGCAAATTTCTAAGAGGGCTATTAGTAAAAAGGTTAAGTAACTTTTATTAAATGTCTAGTACTTGACAAGCATCATGCTACATAGATGCTTTCCTATCATAATCCTCTTTATGCTTTTCAGCATCCCTGCAACAATCGTGTTACTATATCCGTTGTTACTGATAAGACATCTATACCTCCAACACTAGCTTAACGGCTAGTACATAATGATCATTTGATTCTTGTTGAAGAACAAGAGTGTATCTGTCAAGTTTTTTTGTTTTGTTTTGTTTTGTTTTGTTTTTTACTTTCAAGCATTAGAAACTAACTCTTGCTAACTTAGGCATAAAAGGAGTAGATTAAAGGATGTCATATAGCACACAGAATCTTCTTCCCCAGAACAGAGTAGAAAGCCATGTTTGAAATTATCACAGTGAGGAACAACATCCAAAATCATGCCCAAATGTGGTCCTGTGAAGAGGCACTGCCACCTTTGCTAGGCACACATTGACACTTGTGCTTCTGATGCCAATAATGCAGGGCATTGAATCTGTGGCTGGAATTGCTACCATGGGAAATTGGATGGAGCTACTGCCACCACTAACACATTGCCAAGAGAGATTAGGCCCTGCTTTTTGTGTCATCAGCTCTGAAGTCAGAGGCTCATATGATGTGTTGATTGGAGGAGTCTATAGATAGGTATCCAGATCAGGGAACTGTTGAGAGTAAAAGCGTCATTATTAAGAATTATTCCAGGATAACAAGCCTAAACCAGGACATATGGTCACCCTCTGCTAATTCTGTTCCCTAGCTGCAAAGAGATCTTGGAAAGCACATTTTCTACTTCTATGATAAAATGTGTTCTTGGCTTCTCATTAGTGCTTGCAGTATAGGGAATTACCCAAGTGTCATAAGAGGTTATAAGTCAGGGTGTTCCAAAGAGAAGGACAAATGTCCACTACTGAATGAAGAATTGAATTTTAAATAGCCTGTCTAAAGTGAAACAATTAATGAAGTCTGCCTAAGTCTAAAGTGCTTTTCCTTTCATTATACTATGCTTTGCGTACTGTAGTATGGCAATGTTTAGCTAAGGATGTACATCAGAGCTGTTTAAAACAGTGTTGTAAACATATAACATATAGGTTGTGGAGCCCCACTCTAACCTACTGAACCAAAATCTCTGGGAATGGTGCTCTGGCCATGATCTGTAATCCTTAACATCCTTCAGAGAAAAAAAATAATAAATTAGAAAGGTGATACTTGTGGAAATAAGGCCACTTGTATCTTTTGGATGTTATTATTTTCCTGAAGTGTTTCATTGTGTGAGATAGATTTGATTTGATGTGTTCCATAGCATTTATGAAAGCCAGAGGAAAGCCTGTAGCCTGTTCAATGTGGCAATAGGCAATAAAATAAAATTATAATTTTAAAAATTGGTCGTGCTTAATTTTTTTTATTATTACCATTAACTGGAAATTTCCTGGAATCTCTCAGGCACTTAAAAATGTCCATGGTACTACACATATGAAGGGTGACAGAGAATTCTAGATAACATATATTTTTCTTGCTTGCTGATAATAGTGAATGCTCAAGATAATGAAGACCATGTCCCACTCCATTTCTGTTCTCGATTTGGACACCATGATATAGTTAAGTATCTGCTGCAAAGTGATTTGGAAGTTCAACCTCATGTTGTTAATATCTATGGAGATACCCCCTTGCACCTGTGAGTATTATGTAGTATTCCATAGGTCCTCCAGGTACACTCTATGTACTTGCTTACAATATAACAAGATATTTTCTTCAATCTAGGGCATGCTACAATGGCAAATTTGAAGTTGCCAAGGAAATCATCCAAATATCAGGAACAGAAAGTCTGACTAAGGAAAACATCTTCAGCGAAACAGCTTTTCACAGGTAAAAGAATATTTAAGTGCAATAGCCACTAAACTTAGCTGACACTCAAATGCACCTGAACTTGTGTACATAAAGCAAGAACAAATAGTGGCAGATGTTGCAATCAGAGAGCAATAGCAGAGGTAGGGCAGAGGACAAAGAGCCCAAGCTAGATGCAGAGAAGAAAAGGTGGAGGCAGATGCTGCAGTCAGTACAACAGATGGGGCCGGAGCCAGATGCTGCGTTCCTGGCAGCAGCCACAAAGACAGGGACTGATGTTGCCAAGGCAACAGGCATATCAACATCTGTAAGCATATTGCTTCAATTCCTCTTCACTCCGTGGAAAGCTGCCAAAAAGGGATGTGCCCATAATCCTCCTCCAACAAGAATCTCATTACCAGAATTCATCAGCATTAAATGTGACACTTTTTTCCTTTCTACTTAAACCTTACGTGCAAATGTGTCTACCTATCTAAAACATCCATCTGTCAGCCTGTAAAAGCCTAGCCAGGGTGGCCACTCAAATACCTAAGAAGGCATTAACTCTTTTTTAGGAATTCATAAGAGCCCTTTACGGTGTGCTCTAGAAAAGTACATTGAAGGAGCAGCTGGGATTAGAAAAATTGCAACCAAAAGTAAAAGAGAGAATAAGAAAAGGGTGCTAATAAGTCAGAGCTATAGTTCCCTAAAATGCCCAAAGGAAAGTGACTGCTTTATAAATCTAAGGCCTTCATTTTTACTGAGTAACTATTTTGCTATAACAGTAAAAGCAATTTAGTAGATCTTGAAATTAGTTCACTTACACATTACATATTTTTCATTAGTTTGTAACCTCTGAAAGTATATTTGAGACTCATTGTTGTTTCTATAATGTTTTTGTAGTGCATTGATAGATAATAAAAATGAGGAGACTCTCTTTTTTTCTTACCATTCTAAAATGAAGCCTATGCTCTGCCTCAGGCATCAACCTGTCAAATTTCACATGCATTTCCAGATTTTTCTGTCAACCAAGACTTGGTCAAAAAATAAGGTGAAGTAAAACCACCATTATGGAATAGTGACCATATACCAGATGATTTGCATCCATTATCTCGTGTAATCCTTGTGACGTTTTATGAAGTTGGATTTATTATGTCTCTTTTACAGAAGAGAAAATTAAGGCTCAGAAAAGCTAAGTAACCTGCCAAAGTTTCTTATGGCTAGAAAATAATGTAGTAAATGCCTACCTAATTCCAAATCCTGTGCTTTTTACATTTCTTCATGTTCTAGTACCAAATATTTTGTCTGTTTTCTACACTCTCAGTAACAGAACGAATGCAAAAACTCCTTAGATCCTGCCTTCAGTCAAATGGATCAGTGGAATCTGTCCCTGCAGGGGACAGTTGGCAGAACTGATATGTACTGGTTGCTGGTATTCTCTTTCCCATTAGGTCATGCCTGTTACGGATGACACCTCAGGCTAGTTTTCAAATCATTTTGCTACTTCGTGCACTAAAATTGGAAAAAAACTGTAATCAGAGGGTGACTGTCACCTCCAAAAGATTGTCTATATGAGATTTGTGAAGTGAGTTTCAAAGTATATGTCCAATTGTTTATTTCATGTAAGCTGTGGCTACTCAGAGTAACAGATAATGTTTATGGTATATTTATTTTAAGCAAATATTTAGAAAAGAAACTCCTTTTACATGAGGAATTCACTGTACAATTTTTCTGTGTAGAAATCACAGTATTTTGCACAGAGTAAGCACTCAGTGCATTTCTTTTGTGGTTTTCATATGTATATACACACACACACATATATATACAAATGTATATGTGTATATATGTACACATATACACAAAGAAGTACACATATACACACACACATATATATAAATATATTACATATACACACATATATAAATATATTACATATATATGTATATATATTCAGAACTGATTTTCTGTAAGTAGTTTCTTTGAAAAAGAGCAATGAATCAATATTAAATGTGTACTATTATGGGTCATATTATATTGCAAATAGTTAATGATGCTATGATATATTGCACTGAGATGGTAGTTTTTTTATTCACTCCATTATTCAAGAAAGTGTTGTTAAAGACCTACCTTGTATTGGTGCTACTGGGTACATTAAGATGACAGGATTCTTGCCATCCTTAAAGGATCCCTATTGTAAGGTATCAAGGGAAACAAAGATGTATCCAGTACAGTATCACAGTGTGATGAGCACTGTGAGATTAAAATTACAAAGAAGCAGAGGGGTCAGCAATGAAATTCTAGAATGCTTCATATTTAGTTTAATTGGAAGAAAAAAGAATGGTATTTCATGAAAGAAAATGACTTAGGCAAGGCCATCCCAGGAAGAGGAAGTGTTAAGACCCAGTGAACCAAGTCCCTGTGCCCTTCTTTAGCCATCATTTAGGGGTGGGCCTATTACATACCTCATATCTCTCATGATTTTAAGGTAGAGTATGTTAGTAAACAAGTGATAGCAGAAGCAGAGGTATGAGGGAAACTACAGAAAAGAACATTTATGAGAATTACTAATCAAAAGTTTAATCCAGTAGTCATTTACTAGACATGCTAATTTCATACAAAATTTTTTATCTATGCATCTTAGCTTTCCCAGTAAACAGTAGAAATCAGAATTTCAAATAAGTGTCTCAACAATCTACTTGTAAATTTATCTATAAAAAATCTTATTTCCTTGCATCTTGAAATGTATTAATTTTTCTACAAATACTTTCTCACAACTGGAAAGAGCTGATAATGAAAGGTCTTCTACAGTTGTAATGTGATTCTATAAGCATTAATTCACTTGAAATTTCAGCAACAATTTGGCAAATTAAGAAGGCATTTTCTATCATTATTTTATAGATGGTAAAACTAAAACTCATAGAGATCAAAGAACTTGTCCAAGATCCTCTGGTTTTGTGTGGCAGAACTTTGGATTTTGAGTGCACAGCAAATGCTCCTTCAGTAAAATGAAAGCTCTGAGATCTTACCTCTGGTCAAGGAAGTGTTTGGAGAGACAGTAGATGGTTTTACCAGGATCATTTCAGACCAAGACCTGACTTTGACTAAAACTCTGAGAACCCTTCTGAATTTCTCATTCGATAGTCTTGCAGAACAGTTCCTATGTCCTGCAGCTAAAAAATGCCTGGAATCTTGCATCTTATCTCATTCTTTTCTCCTTATATGAAAAATAACAAATATCCTAGAGAACATTTGATTAAAAAAAATTTTTTTAAAGGTCCAGATGTGAGAATATTTAGGATTTTCTCACCATATATCCACATTTTTATTTAGCCTTTACAGATGGTGCTGGTTTGTTTTTTATCACCTCCTGCCTTCTCTGTGTCTTTGGCTCTCTTATACACATGTGAGCATCTAGAATGCCTGGCTTAATCAGGGCTGCATTTGTTTGTTAGGGCTGCCATAAACAAAATACCACAGAATGAGTGGTTTAAGCAACAGAAGTTATCGTCTCACAGTTCTGGAAGCTAGAAGTCCAAGGTCAAGGTGTCAACAGGTTTGGCTTCTCCTGAGGCCCCTTTTCTTGGCTTGCAGATGGTTGCCTTCTTGCTGTGTCTTCACATGGCTGCTTCTCTATGTCATCTGTGTCTTAATCCCAGATTCTTTGTATAAGGACGTCAGTCATATTGGATTAGGCCCCACCCTAATGACCTATTTTAACTTAGGTACCTCTTTAAAGACACTGTCCCTAAATACAGTCTCACTGTCAGGTTATCAGGGGTTATAACTTCAATGTATGATTTTTCGAGGTGTGAAAGAGAGGGCACAATTTAGTCCATAACAAGAGCCTTCTATCTTTCTTGCTTTATGTTTTTTCAGTGCTTGTACCTATGGCAAGAGCATTGACCTAGTCAAGTTTCTTCTTGATCAGAATGTCATAAACATCAACCACCAAGGAAGGGATGGGCACACTGGTAAGACTGTGGTGAAAATGTCACTAGTTCTGGATGCTTATCAGTGCTTAAGGATAATGGTATACAAAGGGGTGTGGGGGCATTGAGAGAGCTCAACTCTAGTGGGAAAGGGTATTTATCAACTGACATCATTTAGAATTGACAACGACTGACAGACTTTTTGGTCAATTTTATTATTGTGTTAAATCGTCTATAGTCAGTGCATCTTCTTATGGCCTTCACTAGGGACAGACTGACCACACTGCTCTGCCCCTTGATTTGGTGATCGAGAAAAATACCTGTGTTGAGTCTTTGTTCATTTACTTGTGTAAAGATACTAACATTTGTTCTTGGTAATTACAATAGATGTAGAAATACTATAATTGTAGTGAGGAAAAGACAGTCTCTGTAGAAGACTGAGTACAATAGAATACCCATTTTGCTTAAAGTAATGTCTTGTTTGGTTAATAATAAAATTAGTTCTTTATCAAAGAAATAAATCCTTACTTTATGCCTTTGCAAATAATGCTATTATGTGGTGATAACTGTCTTTTGAAAATTAGGGTGCAGTTTTTTCTTTTTTTTTTCTCCTTTTGTTCTTTCTTTTCTATTATAGGATTACACTCTGCTTGCTACCACGGTCACATTCGCCTTGTTCAGTTCTTACTGGATAATGGAGCTGATATGAATCTAGTGGCTTGTGATCCCAGCAGGTCTAGTGGTGAAAAAGATGAGCAGACGTGTTTGATGTGGGCTTATGAAAAAGGTATATTTTTAATCATCATGTCTCTATGGTAATACATTGAACTGTGTGCATAGATTATGTCAATGCATCAATAATTACTTTGCTTGCATGACTTGTACACTCTCATTTCTTCTGTAGATTTTACTTGAGTTTCTAGGCCCTTGGATCAGAGTTCAATACACTGTAATCAGAAAAGGCAACTCCTAGGCTGCAGATGAGCCAATGGCATTCTCAGTATGGGACTTTGAAAAGAGAAAAGTAACATTTCTAGCTACCAGAGAATAAAATTGTGATGGCTATGATAGTAGAGTGGGCTCAGTGCTGGTCTTTATCTCTTATATGGGGGAATTTTCACGTGGATTCAAATTTTTAAGAAAGAAATAAGTACAAGAGGGGAAAAAAGAAATATTTGTCAGATCTAACCCTGCTGACAATGCTTGTGCCAGAAAAATGTGAGGGAGCCAAGTATAAACTTATTGGAATACAAACTTAATTGCTTAAGTATAAACTTATCTAAGGTCAAAGTGGTGAAAGCTTGAGATCTGGTATAAGAACAACTGGGTTTAAATCAAGCCATATTATTTGATCTTGTACAAATAATTATGATTTCTGAGCTTCACTTTCTTCATTTGAAAAATAAGGATTATAACTTCTACTTCACAAGATTGTAAATATTAAATGAGATAATATAAGCAAATTGCTTAGAACAGTGGCTGACACAAAATAAATTCTAAGTAATTGGTATTTTAGTGTGATAGCAGTGGTACTAGCAGTAACTCAGAAATAAAGATGCTTGATAACAAATTCGTCATTTCAAATTCTTCACAAGTCCCTTTCACCATCTCAATAACTGAAGATATTGAGATGGTGAAAAGGCATCTTTGTAATTGTTTTTGAGATATACTTGCCTCATAAGTGAGCTCTCTATACACACACTCCTAAGGAGTTTAGATTTTTAGGTGATATGAAAGAGTATATATTGTCTTTGAAATTGTAGGTTATAATTGAATACTATAAAAATATACTAGATTTTAAAGGCACATTTAATGATTATTTTAACTTTTGATGACTGCATTGTCTCTTAAGGATATCAACATATTTAAAGAACCATAGTTATCTTTTAAATACTAGAATTCTAAAAGACTATACTGAAAATAGCAAATATTAACGTGTAAGATTTCCTAGCCTACTAAGTTGATTATAAAGGTTTTCTGACTAAAGTGGAATATGGAAATCCATCAATGAAAGGAGAAATGTAGTCTGATGGATGGAAATGAAGAACTGTTGTAAGCATGCAGTAAGCACATAGACAAGGAGAAGGAAAAATATACAGGTCTGAAGACTGCTAATGGAAAAATGATAGGGGACTTACTTTAATAAAGACAAGTGAACAGACAGGATATTAAGTAATGAGTTAGATATAGGCCTACTATATTTTGTGTGGGCTTTCACTTTTTGGCTTTTCATTTGAATATTGTATAAATACAAACATATACTTTTGCACATATTGTAACCATATAGGTCAATGAATTTCACAGATTGAACTCACCCAGCACTCAAAAGAAGAAACTGAACATAACAAGTCCCTTAAAAGCCCAATCATTGACATTCTCTTGTAATCTCTCCCTTAAGTGATCTACCAATCACTGCCTTCTTGCAGCATAGTTGTTTTGCCACTTTCTGCACTTTATATAAATGGAATGCTATGGTATGTACTTTTTGGGTGTGGCTCTTTCAGCCAACAATATGTGAGATTCATTAACATTGTTGTAGGCAGTTGTAGATTGGTCATTTTTATTGTTTAGTATGTTTTGTGACTAGATCACAGTATTTTAATTCATTCTGTTCATGAGCATTTGGATAATTTTCAATTTGGAGCTATTAAGAGTACTGTGTTATGAACATGCATATACATAGATATATGTCTTTTGTTTAACATATGTTTGTGTTTCTATTAGATATAAAGGTGTTCTGCTTTATATTTAAAAAGTAGGTAGTTCTACATCTGAATATCATTTGGAAAATCTTTAATTTTCTGAAGTCTCAGGAGGCCTTACTAAATTCTATCTACTCCACACATTGCATTTATTCGAGTGATTCGCAGTGTCTCTCAAGAAATGTGAGCTTCAGTGTAAGACTGTTACAAAGCATTAGTCTTCCGGAAGGCAGCTCAGAAATTGCTGCTGCAGCCATCTTCACAGGGATTGACTTTGTTTGTTTTAGTTGATTGAGAGTGATAGTTGAAAACTGGCTTTACTTTTATTTTTTGTGGAATTCCACACTTTTATGAAACAATGAATCATTCTGTAAGCTTCTAAGATTTCCTATGAAATGTAAACAAAGATCTTTTACCTTAGAGGACTTGCCCATTGGCCTCTGCAACATATGCCATATTTGTCACCGTATTTGTTCAAAACTAATGTGCCAGGCATGAGTGTTGCATTCCTTTATTACTATGAATTTTAACAAATTGAATGTTGTTGCTCAGAAGACCAGATGGATGTTTTGCATATGTTCTAGGGCAAAGCAAGTCAGACAACAAAATGAAATTGTTGCTATTTTTCCCTCTTCCTGAAAAAATGTGCATTGTTTTCATGTGTTCAGGAAGAATTGAAGTGGCCTTGTTAATATTGTCAGCAGTGTACCTGTCCCTGTTCCTTTGAATAAAGAAGTGCTTCCCTGTCTCCATGGAGAGGAAGTTACTAAATTAGTTGATATGGTATACTAAGGAATTCCCTGAGCAATTTGGAGGTAAAGTTGAGGAAGGACTAAAAACTCTACTTGATAGGTTTAGAATGGCTCTCTCATGATTTACTATGTACCCCATACTATCCCAGGAGAGATAAACAAGAAGGGAGCTCACAATCAAGGGTGTTATCTGAATAGGTATACTTCTGGATCTGTCCAATTTGATATGTTCATCATAGTCTAATCTCTCAACAGAAAACTGTGGAGTCTTTCTCAGCAGCACCTGTTTCTGTCTGAAATTTTTCATCTGACCCAAGCTAACTTAACTGACCTTTTTTTCTACTTTTCTGATATGTCACATGAAAGTGTGATTTGGAGTTCTGGAAGAGTTATGTATTCTCCTTTGGAATAATTTCAGAAAGGGTTTACTCCACTATGGTTCCTTATGGAATCAGATATAAAGAATGCTTTCTATTTGCATAGCCCTTTAACCTAAAGATATCAAAATCAATCTTGAAAATAATTTTCCTGGCGACCTTGATTCTACACAGAAGCCTACTGTTTAAAGTTTCAATATTTATCTGCCAGACTGCTTAGAATTCCAATTTTACAGTATTTAGAGTGATTCCCCTCCCCATCCCCCCTTCTTCGTTTCTACTATGCCATCTGAAAGAGTAGCAATAGCTGTCTCACTCACTTGAATTTGTTCTGCCCTTTACCTGTGGTACAAAGGACCTGTATGAATCGATTAAATTGGTCAGAAGGAATAGCCAGCAGCCTGCTTATGTTCAAATCCTCTGCCCTAATCACCAGTATGGAAAACCCATTGAAAAGACCTACACATAATCTTACATCCATTGCATTAAAGATGAAACTGCCGAATTGAAAAGATCTCAGCCAATTAGAATTGAACACATACCTCAGTAGTGTGTCTGGCAGTTAGATTTGAAAAGGCTCCCTTTGACAAAGAAAAGCATCCTTTATGTCAGGCTGTTTAGGGTCAGAAAATAACCCAAACTAGAAACAGAACTAAAACCTTCTTATTCGCTTCAGTACTGACACCAGTTAAAGTAATATACAGAGGCTCCTATCACAATATCTAATTACCCAGAATACAATATTTGTGTACAGCAAAGACAGCTAATTCATAGTGGCAGGGAGCTGGAGGTGGAGAATTAGTGAGTAAGTGAGCAAAAACAATAAAAATCAAGGCTCCTGTACCATGATATATACTTTGTTCATTCCTTTTGACAAGTGTAGTATTGTGTGAATTATTTATAGTAAATGGACTATGGTGTGGTCTCTAAAAGTAATGAAATCTTACAGTCACGAGTTTCTACAGTTTTTAGACATTAAAAAAAAACATAGATGAGGTGGGAGAGGAGTGCAAGTAACAAGAGATAGACTCATTAAATTATTTGACAAATTTTCACCAATGGATTATAAACTCCCAGGCTTTTTCTATATTGAATTCCTATCTATTTGAAGTTCAGTAACTTAGTTTAGTGATACTAGTTTAGCGTGCAAGCGTAGATTGGGATAAGGAATCCATGTGTGACTTTTTGTTTTTGTTTAGTTGCTCTCTTTTAAAAAATGAGTAAAATAATTTCGACTGTCATTAGAATGAAAAGAACCTTCATCATTGTAGTGAGAAAACACAGAAAAAATGTTTTTGAAATATAATAATTATAAAAATTCATATACTTAAAATGAATAGTAAAAGAGAACTTACATTCACTAAGCATCTCTTACATATCCATATATATGTATATATAATTTAATCAAAATGCCCCTTTAAATTGGTATTATCTTTATTTTATACATAAATAGATTAAGACTTAGGGCTGTTAAGTCACACTTGCCCAATCCCTGCAGCCGCTGAGCAGAGAGATAGTACCAAACAAGGAGTCTGTCTTATTGTAGAATTCAAGCTCTTACCAACACACTGTAAAATTAGATCTAAGCCCAAACTCCATCCTTATTATTTAATCACCTTGGGCAAGTTCTTTAACCTCTTTCAGCATTTACCCTCAAATTCAAAATGAGGATATTAATAACCACTTTACAGAATTCTGATGAGGTTTACGGATAAGATTTAAGTGCTTGGCACATAACAGATTCTCAGTGAGAATGGCAGTAGCTATTATTGCTAAGTGCAGAGCAGAGATTCAGTCAAATCCACATACCTCCCAAATTTCACGGTCTTTCCTAATTTATAACATGCTTTATTGTACAGTTAGAAATTATGATATATTAGGATAATAGGCATCCGCTCTAAACTCACTAATGAAGGGCTTATATTCCTGCCAAACACCTCTGGACAATCCCTGCAT